GTCTCCACCTCGGTGAAGTTAAACTTCCTTGCATGTGAACGTTGTCTGTACTCTGGATTATTTGTTCAGGTTAGATTACAAGAAGGGGATCGCTGGGGCGCCTGGGTGGCTCAGTCATTAAGCGTCTGCCTTCAGCTCAGGTCACGATCCCAGGGTCCTGGGATCGAGCCCCGCATCGGGCTCCCTGCTCAGCGGGGAGCCTGCTTCTCCCTCTCCCACTCCCCCTGTTTGTGTTCCCTCTCTCGCTGTCTCTCTCTCTCTCTGTCTAATAAATAAATAAATAAATAAATAAATAAAATCTTAAAAAAAAGGGGGGGGATCGCTGGGTCACGGGAATAACCGTGGTTAATGCTGACTCACTCACTCTGTATGGATTACGTACCGCAGTGGGCCAGGCCCATGCCTAGCTCCAGGGGGACAGCGTGGGGTGAGGCAGGACCCATCCTTGCCCACCAGGGGCCTTGGCGAGACAGGCCTCTTCCAGCCAGCAGCAGAGTGCAGGCGCATCTTCACTGGGGCTCCGGCCCCTGTGACCTGCCATTGTCTTTTGTGTCCTCAGACTGACACATCCGACCCAGAAAAGGTGGTCTCTGCCTTCCTGAAGGTGTCCTCTGTGTTTAAGGACGAAGCCACAGTGAGGACAGCCGTGCAGGATGCAGTAGGTAACACTGGGTGGGGTGGGTGGGCCGTGGCTGGCTCTGCCTCCTTGCTGCCTCAGGGCTCAGGGACATTTATAGTCCCTGGAGCCCCTTGTCCCAGCACTAATGTATGTACCACTCTCCAGCCCCTCCTGCCTGTTCTGTTGGGTTCTTGCTATGGAGTAGGCTGGCTGCTCTCCTCTCTTATTTTTTGCAGATGGGGACACTGAGGCCTTTTCAAAGGCATAGAGTTATGTCTAGTTAGACCTCATCCAGGTGGCATCTGCCATAGGAAGACCAGATAGTCACAGCCCCAAGGCCCTTATGGGGACGGTCCTCTCAGGAGAGGTCCTGAGAACTGAGCTTTTGTCCTCATCTGTGGGCCTGTGCACACCGTCCCTCCACCTGGAAGCCTGGAGGATGCCTGCTCTCCCGATAGCGTTCCCAGGGCTTCCCGAGATCTCTTGTCCTGCCGCCACCCTCCCTCGCTACCCCGTTCCCTCCACCGCCTCCATTGTGGCACCTGTCACCTCCCACCTTGAGCATGCGTGTCTGAGCCCCGCCGTGTGGGCCAGGCTTGGTCAGGCAGGGAGGGGAGGAAGGGCTCGGCATGAGGGAAAGGGCAGAGAGGGGTGGAGGTCCGGGCAGCACTTCGTCCTGGATTGGTGCGCTGTGGGCAGCATGGAGGCAGGAGGGCCGGTGGGGAGCGAGGCCGGGGTGGAGCCCTAAGTCAGCTCCCTGAGGTCCCAGCCCCGTGGGCATTGATGAGAGCAAGTTACCTGAATTCTGTTTTCCTGAACAGCCTAGCCTAGAAGCAGGTACCCACACAGTGCCGGTAGACCCCCCCGCCCCTCCTTTCCCTCCCTTCTCTGCTCATCCCCCCCTTGCCTCCACAGTGGCTGAAACCTCCCCCGGGATGATCTTCCTCGCGGGTTGTGCAAGGTCCCCAAGCCCCTTCTCATTGAGGTCAGGACCAGAAGGGCAAGGTGTCACAGCTTGAGCAGGTTGAGCTTTCCCTTGGTGCTGGCTGTCCCCTCAGTCTGGGATGTGGGACCGCCGGCTGCCGCCCTGTGTTCACCTGACTGGGGCAGAAGGCAGGTCGCAGCCTGCGTGTGCCAGGGCCGCGTGCCCTCGGCTGGTGAGCAGCCGTCTGTTGCAGCGGACTCCCTGCCCCATGGCCGCTTCTCCCTTGCAGATGCCTTGATGAAGAAGGCCTTTAGCTCACCCTCCTTCAACTCCAATGCCTTCCTTACCCGGCTCCTCGTCCACATGGGTCTGCTCAAGGTGAGGCTACGGGGGTGCAGGGGGGAACCAGGGGCAGTTCGGGCCACACCCACCCCGGCCCACACCTGAGTCCTGCTGGTGCCCGGGTCTGCTTAAGCAGCTTCCCTTCATGATGGGGTTCAGCTTGACCTCGACCATGGGGATCTCGGAGCCGGGGCTGGGTGCTGGAGACCTAGGGCTTCCCACCCCAGGGGACCTTGTAGCTCACCCTGCCTGGTGCTGTGTGTTCCCTTCACAGAGTGAAGACAAGATCAAGGCCATTGCCAACTTGTATGGCCCTCTGATGGTGTTGAACCACATGGTGCAGCAGGACTACTTCCCCAAGGCCCTTGCACCCCTGCTGCTGGCGTTCATGACCAAGTGAGTGTGCCCTCGTCAGCTCACGTGGCAGCCGGGTCCCATGGATGCAGACCCCTAGTCCGTGGAGGCTTCCCTGGGCTGCTCGTTCAGGCTTGTGAGGGGCTCTCAAGCGTCCGTATTTGAGTCTCTCCTCCGCTGTGCCAGGCTGAGGATGTGGGGCTCAGGAACAGTGTCTTTTCCTGAGAGAAACAGGACATGGAACGGCCCCCATTTCCTGATGAAGCAGCGCTGGATAGTTCAGGGGTTTGCCCACAGTGCTGACCAGGGTCCTGTCCTCAGTGATGTCTCTGGGAGCAGTTCTGTGTCCGTTTCCTCAGCCACAGGGCTGAGGCCAGAGGGGCCTGTCACTCCCGCCTGCCGCAGCCACAGGCCCCTCCCCTGTGGATGCCAGATGCTCAGAGACCTGGAAACCTTGGCCTCGTCCTGGGCCATGGTGGGGCAGTGGCCACAGTTGGGTAGCAAGGAGCCTTCAGACCCCAGCGCCTACGAGGGATGGGTCGGAAGGCTCGTCCCCTGTCCTCACTGAGGTCCTCTGTGGCCCCAGCCGACTCCTGGCCTTTCTCAGGCCTCAGTCTCCCTATCTGCCCCACCAAGCTGTTGCATGAGGTTGTCTCTGGTGTCTGTGACCATCCACACTTCCTGTGAATCCAGTGCCTTGGGGGAAAGTGGGAATGGGGCAAGGAGAGAGGACATAGCCCTTGCCTCGGGGGACGTGAACAAGTGATGTGGGGTAGTCTGGCTCGGCGTGGTGAGGATCTCCGGCCAGCTTCTGGGACTGTTGGCGCCACGGCCTCTTTGCCACCACGACGTCTTGCGGTCCCATGTGCTCCTTGGGCCTCGTGCTCTCGCATGTCTGCCCACCTGCCTGCCACCACACCTGGCCCCCACTGCCGCCGTGGCCCACGCCACCCCTTCTGCTGCAGCTAGACTGGCCCTTGTGAAAAGTTGAGCTGTGGGGCCCCTGGCTGGCTCAGTCGGTGGAGCCTGCGACTCTCGATCTTGGGGTCATGAGTTCAAGCCCCACGTTGGGTGAAGAGCTGAGTGCTTGGCCCCTCTGCCAGAGTCCAGGGCAAGCCCTCACCCTGGCCGCAGAGCTCATGGCCCTGCCTCCCCACAAGGTGCACTCTCCCCGTGCCTGTTCCCACACAGTAGGGGACTTGACCCCAGGGCTTAGCTCCCTGGAACATCTCCACATGATGGCCCCAGCCCCTGCCTGCCACCCCGGACAAAGCCCGGCTCCTTTTGTCTTCTTTGGACTCTAGTCAGAATTGTTCCCTTTACCTTTCTGTTGCCCTTGGGCTGGGCGTGGACCCACAAGAAGAAACCCTCACCCTTGCCCTTGTTGGTCAGGGGCAGGCTGCCTCCTCGCAGCCGCTTGCCCGCCCCCAGCTCAGGCCTCAGTGTGTTCTACTTTAAAAGAGGGGGATTGGTAAAAGCTGTGCCTTAGGCCTCCTTTGAGGCGACTGAGTGACCACAGAGTGACAGGCACATTCCCCCTCCCTCAACTCCTGGCCCAGTGGTCTAGGATCCCAGGGCGATCCTAGACCAGGTCAGTGTCTGTGGGCTGCAGACCCTGGCCGCACCCCACACTCACCCAGCGTCCTTTCTTCATCTGTAGTGAGATTCATGATCTTGTTGGTGACAATGGCCAACCCATCATCTCTGAGGGCCCGGGTGGGATTCCAGTGCCTGTGAGGACGCTGTGGCCCCTGTGTCCCCTGGAAGGGCCCTCACACAGGCTGCTGGGTGGAGAGCAGGGGCCTGGGTTCCTGGCTGCTCGGCCCTGCATTCCGGCCAGCTCCGGGCCGTGTGGCCTTGGGTGCATTGCTGCCCCTCTGAGCTTCACACACGCCTCACCCTGCGGTGTACGGAAGGCGGGCTCCTAACCTCTCCCTCCCAGAGCCATCAGCCTCAGAAACCCATGCCCCCCCGCCCCCCAATAGTGGGGAAAGGGCCCCTGCTGCAGCCTGCAGTCCCTGGCCCTGGGCTGTGTGGTGTACCCCCCCACACTGACTGTTCTTTCCTCACAGGCCTAATGGTGCCCTGGAGTCCTGCTCCTTTGCCCGTCACAACCTGCTACAGACTCTGTACAAGGTCTAGATGCGAAGCCGGCCCCCCCACCCCCTGGCCTGGACCAGTGACTTGGGAAGGGACTCGGATGAAGGACTCTGGCCAGAGGCAGGGAGGGTCTTCGTCGCTTGTGTCGTGTCGGTCCCCGAGTGTGCGTGTCGGTGTGGTGCGTGTGCAGGTGTGCGCTTCCTGTCAGGGCTGGGGTTTTAAGGTCTCCCTGCTGGACTGGCCCTGGTCCCACTGGAGGGGAGCTGGCCCCCCTGAGAGGGCTGCAAGCTGCTCTGCCATTAAACTCATTGCCATCTGAGGGCGCTCTGCTGCTCCATGCCTCCAGCTCGAGGCCCTGGTGGCTGTCCCCTCCCACCTTGCCTTCCCCACTCTTCTGGGCTGCCCCAAAGCCTGGGGAGTTGGTCTGTCTGCCGTCCCCTCCCTCTGTGTTGCAGCTGGGCTGAGTTTCCCGCCCTGCCTGGGGCTGCTCACCTAGTGGCTGACTTTGCCTCCTGTCACTAAGCCCTAGGCCTCTAGCCACTGCCATCCCCGCTATCCATCCCTGCTGGGCTGACCTCTACGGCCTGAAGGACAGGGCCTGCTACGGGGGTGGGGCCATGGGGCAGTCAGCAGAGGGCAAGACCCTGGTTCCCAGGCCGTATGGACAGGAAGAAAAGCCAGTGGCAGATGGTGCTGGCTCCAGACCCATGGGGCCTGCCCCTTGCTGCTGAGAAGTCTGTGACTGGCCTGGGGGCCAAGCTGGAGGGGGGCTCTTTGGCAGGCCCAAACCTGTTCTCCGGCCCAGGGGGCAGGGGCAGGGCCCGCGGAGCCTGAACTGAGCTCAGGACGCTCTTAAAGGATCGGGACAGGGTGGGGACTGCGCTGGAGCTGCCCACC